CAAGCAAAAGAAGACGACGCGACTTCTGTTTGCTCTATTTAAGATACGTTATTTTCAGCGCGTTGACTAACGGATGTCTATTTTTAACAATGGCAGACGCAAATTAACCATTTATTACAGAGCTACTCGGGTAGATTGGAGTTAACAGTGTAATATCAGCAGCAGAACGCGCCTAAAATTTGTGGCTATTAACTGAATAACATCGAAATGATGTAGCACCGACGCCTTAATAATAAAACTGTCGGGCATCGCTTACAAACCGATTACACTAGCTCGTTTATAACTTAATTTAGCCCGAGCTCGCGCGGCGAGTCGATTACCTGCGCGAACGCACGCGGAGCCGGTTTGCAGTGATCCTGCCCCTCCCCCCGCGGCAGCGCTGGCCACGACCGACTTGGGACCATCGTGCATAATGTGTTTTTTGCTCTAGCTCCTTACGAGCAGAACCCTTAACCGATCTCGTTATCTATAACGAATATACGCGAACAGAAACCGGCTCAGCCGCTCTATCAGCGAGATCTAAGACAATAAATAATTCCCCAATGTATATTTACGATAACGATTTCTAAGTGGATAATTGGAATGAATAACTCAATAGACAAAGATAATTACTACTGTTAAAGTCAAATGATAATGTTAAATATTTTATGGCGTAAATATGGCTGTTATATTCACGATGGCGCGATGGCGGCATGATAAGACTCGGGGCAATTTAATACCGTGCGTTTTTATCCCGGCGTCAGCGGGGAATGCTTGTTACTTGCTAATGACGTGAAATTGTCCTCTCCCGTCCTATAGATGTCCGAAAAGAATTCGAGAGGGGCTATTTCATGCCTAAAATTAAATATTTATCCAGACACGGGAACGTGCTTAGCGGGCCGAGCGTGCTGCCCACAGGACCTAAATCAATTTAAGTTTGAAGATAAATAACACTAGGCTTAAGCCCGTATACGGTAAATCTGCTTTTAATAAAAATCGTACAGGACTTTGCAATAATGTACAAATTGTCTTTATTTAAAATATAATAATTATTGTAAATTCAGTAATAGATACGAGATTAGAATGGCTCTCAAACAGCTGAAGAACAACAAGGCACCGGGTGATGATGGAATCACGGCTGAGCTTTTGAAGGCAGGCGGAACGCCGGTACTGAGGGCTCTTCAGAAGCTGTTCAATTCCGTCATCCTCGAAGGAAAAACGCCTACGACATGGCACAGAAGTGTGGTGGTACTCTTCTTCAAAAAAGGTGACAAAACCTTATTGAAGAATTATAGACCCATCTCACTTCTGAGCCATGTCTACAAGCTGTTTTCAAGAGTCATTACGAATCGTCTCGCTCGCAGGCTCGACGACTTCCAGCCTCCCGAACAAGCCGGTTTCCGAAAAGGCTTTAGTACCATAGACCACATACATACGCTAAGGCAGATTATACAGAAGACCGAGGAGTATAATCAACCACTTTGCCTGGCGTTTGTGGATTATGAGAAAGCCTTCGATTCGGTCGAGACCTGGGCAGTGCTACAGTCTCTCCAAAGGTGCCAAATTGACTATCGATATATCGAAGTGTTGAGGGGTTTGTACAAAAACGCCACAATGTCGGTCCGCCTCCAGGATCGGGATTCGAAACCTATCCAGTTGCAGCGAGGGGTAAGACAGGGAGACGTCATATCTCCAAAACTGTTTACCACCGCCCTGGAAGATGTCTTCAAGCTTCTGGACTGGAACGGATTTGGCATAAATATCAACGGCGAGTACATCACCCACCTTCGATTCGCGGACGATATCGTAGTCATGGCTGAGACCTTGGAGGATCTAGGCACAATGCTCGATGGCCTCAGTAGAGCCTCTCAACAAGTGGGCCTCAGAATGAACATGGACAAGACAAAAATCATGTCTAATGTCCGTGTTGCACCCACTCCTCTGAAGGTTGGAGACTCTACACTCGAAGTTGTCGACAATTATGTATACCTGGGACAAACAGTCCAGTTAGGTAGGTCCAACTTCGAGAAAGAGGTCAATCGTCGAATCCAACTCGGATGGGCAGCGTTCGGGAAGCTTCGCCATATACTCATGTCCGAAATACCGCAGTGTCTCAAGACGAAAGTCTTCGAGCAGTGTGTGTTGCCAGTGTTGACATATGGATCCGAAACGTAGTCGCTTACTATGGGCCTCATAAGAAGGCTCAAGGTCACCCAAAGGGCGATGGAGCGGGCTATGCTCGGAGTTTCCCTGCGTGATCGAATCAGAAATGAGGAGATCCGTAGGAGAACCAAAGTAACCGACATAGCTCGCAGAATTGCTAAAATCAAGTGGCAGTGGGCGGGGCACATAGCTCGTAGAGACGATGGCCGTTGGGGCAGGAAAGTTCTCGAGTGGCGACCACGGGCTGGAAAACGTAGCGTGGGTAGGCCTCCTACTAGGTGGACCGACGATCTGGTAAGGGTCGCGGGAAGAGCCTGGATGCGGGCAGCGCAGGACCGTTCATTGTGGAAAACCTTGGGGGAGGCCTTTGTCCAGCAGTGGACGTCATTTGGCTGAAACGAACGAATAGAAATGATGGAAAGATGCAACAAAATAAAACAAGTTTTCCTCGAAAGTTATTTTTCCATTGACTTTTGTCACTTATTATTATTTAGCGTTTCCTAAGTGATATCTTTTGGTATGGTCTCTATGGCATTCGCAACCTTTTCCAGTACCTTGAAGCACTTCAAATTCAAATTCTTTTCCTATATAGAGTCCTTTCAGGACAGTTATTATGTCCTGAATATAGATTACTTCATCACCACATCAAGATAGGATCAGGATATGGTAACGTGATAAAAAAACTGAAGATGTTTCTCAAGCAAGAAACTATTTTGTTTTGTATACGAAATTGTTTACTTAATTAGAAATAAATTAAAATGACATGGACAAACTTCCCACGCTGACCAGTAGTGACCACTGGCTACCCCCTCCTGCAGTAGACTAAATGACCTGATGATGATGAAGATGATGACAGGAGTGCGAACTCACGCGACCTGGACAGGTAAAATCCAAGTACTCTTGTTATTATAGAGCAGTCTTTCCCAAAGTGGGCGATAACGCCCCCTTGTGGGCGCTGCAGGCTTAAAGGGGGGCGGTAAGAGACCCAGAAAAAAAATCGGGACGTTGTGTAGAGGCTTGGGAGGCGTCATCTACTAGGAGGACTCTTAGACATCGACTGAGCTCGACTCTTGACTACAAAAATGGGGGGCGCTAAAAAATAATTTATTCTCAAAATGGGCAGTAGACTAAATAAGTTTGGGAACCACTGTTATAGAGGTAGGCAGAGGTAAGTATTATTATCATTTAGGTAGTTTAGTTTTAATCAGTTCTATTTCTTTTGATTTTATTTACTTTACGAATTGAGAATTAAAACTACATAATATAACTGTCAGTTTGGTTGAGGTTGACGGAGACAGAATAATGTTTACCCCAGAGTTAATTTAATCCTAGACTAAAGAAACTTGAGCAAATGAACTAGAATACAAACTGGGCTTTACTAATTCTAACTCTACTTTCTTGGATACAACTGAAAAGAGTTAATAAACAGTCAGAACTAGACCGTCAAACACTTTAATATTGCTGTACGTATTTCCATAACTTCGCAATAAATAATCTTTCGACAAATCTTGATCATTAAGTCAAATTAAATTAACATGAAAGTTAGATTACATCATGAACCAGTTTTCATATAGCTAATGTTTAACTGTTTATTAAAATGAATAACTAAATTGTTTCACCCAACGACTGGTAGATAAGATTAGACCCATTTGTCGGATTTGTTCGGACGATCCTAGATTATCCCAGTATCCGAAATCAAGTAAATAAAACACATTTATGTAATTAAAATTAAGGTAACGAAACCTCAATGTTTAGAGGAAAATGGGACTTATTTTACAAGCAACAAAGTTTTATTTACGGTTATTTAAATTTAACTTTACCGTCATTGTAGTTCGATAAAACGGTTTATTACGGGAAATATATTTGTGCAGCGGCATTTTTGATTTCGATATAAACAGACAAATGATTTTCAAACATGCACTTTGTTTTATACCAGTGTAATATTGTATATTGTTTGAGAGGGTAACATAGGGTATACGACTGTTAATAGGTTGTTATTCACATTTCGTGCGTAGGTCCCGTTTTCGGTTCCGAATCGGGGAGTAAACACAAAATCGCGTGCGTAGGACTCTAGCGGGGTCCGAAGTTCCGAACCGATTCAATATGATGCGACTACGCATATTTTGCCATATTCTCCGTTAATTTAAAAATAATAAAAGTACGTCAAAAACTGCGGTTGTGTCTTAGTTTAAGTAGGTCATGTTATTCGTTATTAATAAGATATTTTTAGTATGTTTGTCATTATTTAATCGCCTTAATAGAAGCAATTACTTTCACTTAGTTTGTAGAGTACCTAGTTGGTTCAGTTTAATTATTTATTTAATCTAAGTTTTAAGAACTGTAAAAGTTTTTGGGAAGTCTAGTCTAATTACCTAACCGTAACGTTGATTAAACATGAATGTATATTTATGTTAATAATATAGGTAAGTAGGTAATTAGACTTTTTAATTACTCGTTTTTAAGAAATGACAAGAAGGTTAAATTATGATTGAAAGCTAATTAGACTATAATTCATAATACCCTAACTAACCGAACGAATGGTAGTGCCATTCAATTAAAAGCATTTTGTTTTAAATGGTTAATTTGATATTGTCTGAAAAAATATTGCCTCATGTTTTCAATTGGGATAACAACATAATTACCAAATAACAATCCGTAATTGAAGTCTTTAATTTTGGTAAATGATACACACGGGATATCATGTACTGTAAATAACCGAGTAATTATAGGTTAACATTTAAACAAATTGTTTGACGTGTGTTGGCCAACTGGAAATCATGAGTAATGAAGTTACCGTTAAATGTCAACAGCGGCGCGTCAGATATTTGCGATTAGGAAACAGTTATCTGATGACTCACCTCGGTGGTGCCTGACGCGGTGGTGGGACACCGGCCGGCAGCACGGCTGCTCCTGGAAGGCCGTCCAGGAGTCCGCCAGCGCCGCCGCCAGCGCCGCCCACACCAGCGCCGCCGTCCACTGGCCCCGCATCCTCAACCCGGCACACACTGACTCGACTACCTCGAATCGAAACACCCGACACGCATTATCGCATAACAATCCATACAATGCACCCTATACTACTAAGCCCAACATCAACAAACCGTTCCGGAAAACTTCAACAATGTTTATCTGTTTACGTTACCCGCTTCTAAAACCAAACCGAAGATTACGCTCGAATCATTCGAGTTGAACGGACTTTGGCGATTAATCACCGCAGTGGGAACTCGCTTGTTATCTCATATCGATGTATAATCTGTCCGTGAGGTTACTTCGTTCGGCTCGCCTGATTTATTAGTTGGAAAAGTATCGGCGCGATCGACGCTACGTAGAGTGGTCGGCGGGCGACCGGCGAGACGTGCGCCACCGGCATCGCAGCGTTGGGAACTGAAAACGAAGCGAACTCGGTCCGCAGAGACAGAGTGGCTCAGTGGCTGGAAGCGGCACTCCGGCAGCCGCGAGCCGCCGCGCGAGACGGCTTCGAAGCCGCGCTCGGCCGCCAGACAGGGACGGAGCTCTCGAGACTGCAAACGAATGAAAAAGCTCGCTCCACTCGTTCAAGGAAAAGTTATAAGTTAAAAAGTTTTGATAATTTCGCCGATCCGAGCGGCTTCCGAATGTGCGGGGGATCTGCTGCGCGTTGACCCCCGTTGTCATTACGAACATACGGTTGGAAAGGGGATGGTCTCTATAAGTAGTAAATTTACCTAATTTATGTTTTCGTTGGGATACGCACGAGCAACTTTTATGTCTGTAGGCACGCAAAAGGAAGTTAGTAGTTTACTTACTTTTCTTTGTATATGTTTATTAATAAGTGGCCCGGCACATGAGTCACGGCGCGTGTGCGTATAAATTACACGCGGTATGCTAAACAAGTCATCGCGTCGATGGCATAGACTCGGCCGGTTCATTAGTAGCTGCTAATGCTAGTTTATTGCGAAAACTAACAAAACACGCTGGAATTTATAATTGATGGCACCTCGAATCAAGTCTCGAAATCAAAACTAATCTTTATTTATTTAATCATAAAATGTATTTATAGGAAATTTTTAAAATGATTTCCACGTTCCACTTGCCTTATTTATCCAAAAATATCTTTCCTAATTGTTATTGTTACTTACATCATTATTATAAGTTTGTGAAAACAAAATTAGATGAAAACGCTATAGAATAGACAATGCCTAACTCAACCTCAATATCAAACAATAACTTATGAAACGAATTTCAAACTTTGAAGTGATGACGTCACGCCAAAGTTATCGGCAAGCTGACTCGCGGTAATCTGCAAGTCCTGGCCTCGGCAAACGCCATCACCAACTTAATAAATGCCTATTATTAAATTAGCTGAGCTGACCCTGATTAAAGGTTGCAGGGTTAGCTTTATCAATTACTCAACCTCTGCGGCCAGCTCGGCCCAGGCGCACTCCTGCGACCACTCCACTCGCCTTCAATTAATCTTAAATAACTTGATTACAACCTAACCCTTACGTAAATTCATTGAATAATTCAAACGCACTTACAAACTATAACACCAACTCGATAAAATATTCCATAACAGATATTATTTTATACAAAAAGGCGAAACTCATACCCGGTCTGTAAGTTTTGCAAAGTTAGAAACGTTTGGAAGTTAGTATCACATTCATAAGACGGAGAGATCTTTAACGTCGCGGGCCCATTTTCATCAGCTCTTCAAGTTTTTCAATAAAAACTTTCGACGGAGTCCGATTTACATACGGTATGGATTCATTTATTTTCCTGAAGATTTTTCACGTAAAAGCGTAGAAGGTTTTCGGTATCCATTAAAGTGGAAAGGTCGTCACTTGAGTGCCGCGCGCCTCAGCCGATATGGGTCCGTCGGACACTCTAATTATAATATCTTACCCGAATGACGTCTAAAAAGGGGCTGTTATAGAAATCTATTCAACTGGACTTAAAGGTAAGCCACTCGATTACGTAATTAAGTGATATCAGAGCACTCTACATTACAGCGGCTAATTTAAATTCCTGTTTTGTTGATTAAGACATTAATGCAGTACATTTACCTAAATACGACAATCTCGTGCGATAAGTTTCAATTTAATAGGTCCCGTTACGTGAAACTGGCCACCACATCGTTACGTAGTACGGGACTGTTAATACATTCAATTTGTTTTGAGCTGAGTGCCAATCCGGCGTAATTGCACAACGATAAACAATGCAACAATGATCAGCGACACACACCCGCTGTTTGCGCACAAAATAAATACTTACTACGCAGCCCGGTTTATAACTAACCCAAGTATCAATAACAAATGCGTTAAACCCAACCGACTAACGCATTAAATACCAACTGCGACAACGAGTAATGGTTACTTTAAAGTCTCTGTTGTTACTATGCTCTAAATATTCATTTTCTAACTATGAAACAACATTCTCCATTTTCTAAATCCTTTGACTTAAGTCCATACTCATTGGTTTGAAACAAAGAATAAAAATAGCTCAAAGCTCGTATTTTAATTACTTGTTACTAACTCAAATACATCACAAAGCAAAAATAATGAAATAGTTAACTGTTTAATTTCTGAAACGGTAGAGACGGTAATTATTTACCTTTATAAATACCTAAATCTAAAATAATCCGTTGTTAGCTACTTAATTAGTCTTAATTGTGTAATAACAAAAGCAATTAATCAGTGGTATGAGTTCCAGTATTTACTTATGTATGACCGTTCCCGTTAATTGTGGAAAACCTTGGGGGAGGCCTTTGTCCAGCAGTGGACGTCATTTGGCTCAAACGAACGAACGAACGAACTGTGTACTGTACTGTGGGTAAAAAGATTATGAGATATGTAGAGGCTCCTTAAGAGCAAAATATTTGTCGATTTATATGTAACTATTTAAATACTTAGTCTAAATTTTTGACTTTGACTTACTCGCATTATCCCCGTTCATTTTAGTTTACCTGAAACGCTACGCTACAACAATCGACCCGCTGTGTTGGTGTAAGTAGTTATAGTAACTCCGATTCGTGCGAGGTGAGATCAATCACTCGCGAACTGCTAAGGTTGAACTCGGAGCAGATGTGGAGAGGCGTGTCTTCTGTCTGTTCGCCGAGAACTGCCGTGTCTCTTGGAGTTATTCTGGAACCGCTCGAAACGGTACCTGAAATACTTTTCAATTTTATCTGAAAATTTCCGAGTGCTTTAATCTGCAGGACGTACTCCTATATCATAACATGCTTTAAGAAGATCAAGTAATCTTCTCCTACAGCGTAACTAAGTGGTGTTTCTCCATTCAAATCAAAGGAAATTCAAAATGTAGAAGGCTCTAATCAACTGTTGTCGTGAATTTTGCATAATAACTTCATGCATTGCTATTATACTAGACAACCAATGTTAACTTTTTGTGTCTCTTATCTAAAGTAACCATACTTTTTTACGTCAGTACTAGTATAATCAATGACAAAAGATGAAAATTGTGAAAACTCCTGAACATAATAATAACTTTTATGTGTTTTTCATAGTGATCTTGAACAAGTTTATAGTATCTTAATTTATTCTTTTAATAGTTTAGAACTTTTCGCAAAGACTACCTATTTCGTTCCAAAAAAAGTCGAGCGATTCCCTCATAAGCTCCGGCGGCGGGAGGGACCTGGGATAATTGATGAAGTCGACGTGAGACCCCGCCGCGGTTAATCTCTACCCGGCCACCTTCGACAGGACAAACTTTATCTGCCGCGACCGACGCAAAGAGGTTACGTCTTAATTTTTCCTCCCGAGAAAAGTTTTAATTTTGACACTTCGGTGGTTTAACGATGCTGCAGTTTGGGGGTAGTTTCCAAAATAGGTGTTCACTTGTTTCTTAGAATATTGCTTTCGACAAATGAGAATGTTCATTAGCACTGCAACTGAAACACTTAACGAATACCAACATTAATTAAATAATATGTAAAAGAAATTGACCAAATAGTATCTGTTATAAATAGTTTTTGGTTCGATATAATATTTGATTGATTATCTATTATATTTTTGTAAGTTACTTTAAATACGAGTATGTATAAGCACTGTAAGTACGCGTTCTTATACTTTTCCGCTGAAAAAATACGAAGTATCTAAAAAGTTCAAGTCTTCATAAAAGCGTTAAACATATTCCGCATTGGATAGGTAGGTAAGCTTGATCGTTAAAAGCCATAATAGATACAAATTACGCGACACAATCAAAACGAATGAAGTTGATTGCTACAACAGCTCAAACAATTGGTTTAGGAATGAAAAGAGCTGAAATATGAACGCTCTCATTAAATACAGAAGCTCATTATAGCGCTTACGCGCCGCCATTGAGTCCCATGCGCTAAACAATCCTCGCCATCAATTAATTTTCTTTTGTTTTTCTAGTCTACATTTTTTACATAATTACTAGATACTAATAAGATTTTGTTAACACATATTAGTGAAAAGTGTGGCCACACTTTTGTAAGCAGACACTTTCGGAAAATGAGCGTGAATAAATAACAAAACTAATACTTGAGGTGGATCAAAGGTACGTTTAACAATATTTACATGGCTAATGGGGCTCAATTTTACATAAAAGTGTAAAAGCGAGTGAAGTTAGGCGCAGCAGCGAAGTGGTGCAATTTGCATGTTTTATGCAACTGCGGGTGTGCGGCGCGCGCGTCGCTCGCAGGCCCTTTGAAATTTTTATACGCTATTCCCACAAATCGGACCGGGCTGCATTTTATGAGGAATTGTGTCGTCGGTTGTCCAATGTCCAATTTTATCAGTAGGACACTGCAGCGTTCAAAAACGGCGTCGTCCCTGTGACAGAGTTGTAAAAAAGACGTAAAATGTAGAGCGTTTCAGAAGTCTTGTTAGACTATTTCTGGACTGAAAATGAATTTTTTTTCGGAACGTGGAAAGCACTTTGAAACAAATATAAGTTTATTAAACTCTGCCACCAGCGATGGACAGTTGGACACCCCTAAGTTCTGTTAGTTTGAAAAACTGTGTGCGCAAAACCAGTTTGTTTATTTTTGCGTTGCAATACATTCTGTTAGTGCAGCACCTGACCCCTAATATGTTGCGGTGCGCTGATTCGTGTTATTTTTGTTTTATGGACTGCGTGGGTAATCGTCGGGCGCTCAAACGAGCAACTTTACAGGGAAGCCATCGCTCCAGTGCCGCACTAGCTAAATTGCATTGTTCGTTTTATTGCAAGTGTGGATGGCGGAGCGCCCGCCAGAATTATTTACTATGTAACAGCACATGCACTTTATTCTGCAGCCGATTTTTAGTATTGAAACCTTTTGTTTTATACGTGCGGAACTTGGTTTTATTTCCGTCCTGAACGTTCGCTCTGTACATAAAAGTGCCAAAAAGAACAAAATGTATATCAATGTAAAATCCAAAAGCTTTGATTGCAC